AAGCTGCTGGCCTAGCTGATTTAGTTGTATGATAATACAAGTGCTTACTGCTTCCTTATAAATTTCAGGGATCCCCTGAAAAGTTCCTATACACTTAAACCAGGAGCAGCGTGGAATAAGGAAAGATTTTTCCAAGTAACTGTGTAATTTGCTCAATACAGACAGATGTCCGGGCCATGTCTCACAAGCACTCTGAATATAGTTTCATGTCAGTGCCCCCCAAATTGATAAATGTACTAAGTATAACTGAAAGACTATAAGTGGAATAAAAAATGATTTAGTCACTGTGGAAAAGTTTGGCGGTTCTGCAAAAAGTTAAATGTAGAATTACCACATGACCCCACAGTTCCATTCCTAGGTGACTCAAACAAGTACATGTACACACATGTTCACAGCAGCTCTGTTCACAAGAGTCAAAAGGTGGAAATAGCTTAAATGTCCATCAGTGAACGAGTGGATAAACCAACTGTGGTATATACATACAATGGAATACTATTCTGTCATAAAAAGGAATCAAGTACTGATACATGCTACAATATGGATGGATCTCCAAGACTTTATGCTAAGGGAAAGAAGCCAGACACAGAAGATCACATGTTGTATAATCTCATTTATACGAAATATGCAGAAGAGGTAATTCTCTAGAGACGAACACAGACTGGTGGTTGCCAGGGGCTGGGAACTGTAGCATGAGTGTAAGAGGCCTAATGGATAAGGGATTTTACTTTAGAGTTATGGAAATGTTTTGGAACGATGCTGGTTGCACAAAATCGTGAATGTAATTAATGCCACTGAACTGTTCACCTAAAATGGTTAATTTTATGTTATGTGCAATTCACTTAACTAAACTATTAAGAATTAAGAGCCTATAGGCAGATGTAAATACTAGTAATATCCAGAATCTGGAGGGCAAATATTACTCATGGTATAGAAACCGAAGAAAAAGGGTATTTTTATTTTTTCTCAAAAAAATTTTAACAAGAGGTTCATGTATAGAGTAAATAGTTCTTATTAACTAAACTAGAGGCTAAAGGGAAAAATGAACTGTACACAATTCTGATCAACATCTCTGAGAGAAAACTGACATGTACTTGTTAAGAAACTTCTTAAAAATCAAAATTCAGCATGAGGAGACATTATTCTTAAATATAAAGGAAGGAAGTGAGAACTTTTAGACAGAACTTTGGACTTGAAGTAAGGAGAAAGTAAACCAGTCTTCTGGTTTTCAGTTTAATTTACTTATCTTCTCTTCAAGCAAAAAAATGGGGGGAGCTGGGGTGGGGGACGTGGGAAGGTGATGTGAAGCAACTACTTTCCTCTTCCCTTGGAGAAAATTATTAATTTTTAATTATTACAGTATGTATCTGCTTTGGAGAGAGTTCACTAGAGGTATCCTGCACAGGCAGGGTAACTTCTTTGGGGGTATGCTATGGAGGAGGATGGCTGTAGAGATCAGATCAAGGTTTTTCAAACTCTGGTCAGCTGAACCCTAAAGGTCCTCTAGGCTGCTAGAGGGAGGGAGGGGTGGGAGAGGAAAAGGGAAGTGGAGCTGTTGATGCCCCAAGCCTCTATGACCACTTCACTTCACTCAGAGTAGGTTTGTTTTTACCTTTTAAATATTGGGATTCTATGTTAAGCCTTCACTTGGAAAAAAAATTCTACTCAAGTTTGAAACCACTGGACTGCATCAAGGATTCCTAAACCTGGTAGCTCAACAGAATTACTAAAAGAACTTTTTCAAATTACAAATTCCTGGGCCATACCTCAAGGGATTCTTGTGCAGCAGCCCTAAGCTAGCCCAGTGTTTGAGAGGCACTGAACCAGATGACCCTTGCTTCCCTGAGAGCCTATGACAAAACAGAACTTAAATGGGCAGGCAGGAATCTTGGGCAAAAAAGCTAGTGATAGCAAATGGAAAAAGAGATGTAGACAACTAAATCACTAGAGTATACTGACAAAAAACAAAACAAAACAAAACAAGAAACCTGGCAAATGAGGAGCTTGCCTAGGACCAGAAGTTCCGCTGGAGGTTTAACTGTTTGACAATTAGCTCACAGCCTATTATAACTGTCCAAATTGGTGATGATAGTCAAAATGGTTTAACTTAGTAACTGTCCAAGAAAGTAAAATGTCGGCCACACGTGTAATTTAAAATTTTCTCATAGCCATGATAAAAAAAGTGAAAAGGAAATTAATTTTAATAATATACTGTAATTCAACATATCCAAAATAATATCATTTTAATGTTTACTGAATAATTAAGTACAAAAATTATTAATGGTATACTTTACTTTTTACTTGTATTAAATCTTCAAAATGTTATAGCACATCTGAATTCAGACTAACCAGGTTTCAAGTGCTCAAAAACCATATGTGGGTAGGGGCCACCATATTGTATAGTGCAGGACTAATTAATAAAGTCAATCTATTTCCTTTTAAAATTGATATTCTGTTGCAATATAAACATAGAAAGTCCATGAATTACTTTCCCAGCCCTAGAGGTCCTGCTCCCAAGGTTAGTCAGATAACAATCTTGTCTGCAGATATTATACCCAACCTCACATCTGCAGCCCTGACTGCTCTCTCTTCCTAGCAGTGGAATCTATGTTCTGGACATTTTTCTCAGGATGTCCCTCCCTCAAAACCTATTCAAAATATCTAAAATTAAATGCACCATCTTTATTCCAAAATAAAAAATCAATTTACCTCTTATTTTGTCAAATTCCTATATCTGTTATGAGCACTCATATACAAGTCTTTATGTGGACATATGTTTTCATTTATTCTGGTAAATACCTAGGAGTGGGTGGAATTGCTGTGTCATATGGTAAGTGTATATTTAACTTTATAAGAAACCACCTGTTTGACATAGAGAACAAACCAGTGGTTACCAGGGGGAGAGAGAAGAGGGAGGGGCATATAGGGGTAGGGAATTAAGAGGTACAAACTATTATGTATAAAATAAGCTACAAGGATGAGAATATAGCCAATATTTTATAACTATAAATGGAGTATAACCTTTAAAAATTGTAAATCACTATATTTTATACCTGTAACATATAATATTGTACATCAACTACACTTCAACTTAAAAAAAGAAGATAAAAACAAAAAAATCAAAAACAAAAAGGGCTTCCCTGGTGACGCAGTTGTTTAGAGTCCGCCTGCCAATGCAGGGGTCACGGGTTCGTGCCCCGGACCGGGAAGATCCCACGTGCCGCGGAGCAGCTGGGCCCATGAGCCATGGCCGCTGGGCCTGCGCGTCCGGAGCCTGTGCTCTGCAACGGGAGAGGCCACAAGAGTGAGAGGCCCGCGTAACGCAAAAAAAACAAAAACAAAAACAAAACAAACAAACAACAACAAAAAAAGAAGATAAACCACCTGTTTTTCTTCTATTATATTTTAAAAAAATCAATTTACCTCTTGATTTTCCTATTTCTATTAGTCATCTAGGATCAAACCTTCAGAGTCAAATGTTTCCTTTTCCTTTATTCTACAAAAGCACCAAGTTCTATTTTTTCTTCCCTTACAATCTCTCTTATTTGCCCTTTTCTGCTTCTAGTTCTACCTGCTGATCTATCCTTATACTGTTATACAAATACTTAATATACCATGTATAATGAATGCCATTTTTCTTTAGTGGCTCTGTAATACCTTTCACTTCAGGTGTGAATTTAAGACCACACACAATCTTGCTTGTACCCCACACCTGGCCTATTACCATTCCAACCTTATCATTTACCAATCTCCTAGAAGAGCCTTTATTTTAGGCAAACTATCCTGTTCTCCTGAATATGCCTTATACTTCCTCACCTAGGTGGATATGACTGTCTACCCACCTAGAATGCCCTTACTCCAGCTTTACCTATTATTCCACAAATATTTACGTGTCAGGCACCATACTGGGTACTGGAGAAAGAATAAATATCTCAGTTTCTCCACTTAAACCTTCCTTTATACGCCAATTATAACTCAATAAAGCTGAAAAAAAATATCTTCCTGACTGTGCCAAAATAGAAGTGATTCTGAATTGTTGAGTTGTTCTTCTTTTTTTTTTTTGGCTGTACACGGGCCTCTCCTGTTGCGGAGCACAGGCTCTGGACGCGCAGGCCCAGTGGCCATGGTTCTCGGGGCCAGCCGCTCCGCAGCATGTGGGATCCTCCCGGACCAGGGCATGAACCCGTGTCCCCTGCATTGGCAGGCGGACTCTCAACCACTGCGCCACCAGGGAAGCCCTTGAGTTGTTCTTATACAGACCTATGCCTTATAAGAACACTCTGGGCCCTTACAATTTGCTGCCTTGTATTCCTAATTATCAGTTTTTCCTATAAATACCCATCTATCTTCACAAATAGAGGGTGGATTTCCTAAAAGCATGAATTAAGGTCAAACCAATGTGTTCTCCCTGGTGTTCAGTAAGCAGCAGGTACTGAGTTCACATTTGCTGATTGATAAGTACTTGTAAAAGAGGCAAATGGAGGGCTCTACCTAGAAAAGAAGCCTCCTCAGTGATATGCTGCCAAATCAGGATCAGAAGTGAGCAGGGAGGGCCTGCAAGAACCCAAAGCTGAGGAAAGCACTTGGGAAACTTCACTTTTCTAATTCTCTTTGCAAAGAAATTCAGAATTGGCAACATTTAAGTTGGGATCAGTTACCCTTGCTTTTAACTTCAACAACGTAAGTGCTCAATTTAAAAAATCCTTTTCTGGAACTAAATGAAAATAATAACACTTGTGATGCTTAATGTACATACATTATATCACACCTAAAAAGATAACTTACCGGGCTTCCCTGGTGGCGCAGTGGTTGAGAGTCCGCCTGCCGATGCAGGGGACATGGGTTCGTGCCCCGGTCCAGGAAGATCCCACACGCCGCAGAGTGGCTGGACCTGTGAGTCATGGCCGCTGAGCCTGCACGTCCGGAGCCTGTGCTCCGCAACGGGAGAGGCCACAACAGTAAGAGGCCCGTGTACCACACACACACACAAAAAGATAACTTACCACATGTTGTGTTCAAAAACTTTGGCTGGATCAGTTAAAATCCTTGATCCCAGAGGGGCCACTGGGTGATAACTACTTTGGTATCTGTAAGGCACCTTTCTTATCCTTAGACGAGAAAAATAATTTCTCCAAATCACATTCATCCTAATCAGTACCTGGAAAGTTACAAACAGTTAATTAGTCAATATGGATTAAACAACATATTATTTATCTAAGAGCCAAAAACTGGCCTAAAAGGTTTACAAGCTGAGAAAGGACATGAAAACTAAAAAATTTGAAATGAAAGATGGGCATGGTAGCTTCTTTCCTTAAGTATTTTTCAGGCCAAGAGAAGGGAAAAGAATATTTGGAGTGTACAACATTGCCTGGCATTCTTTATAAGTCACAGCCTTGACCAACTTCGCTTTGTTTGGTATTTGCTTATATAATTTTTAGCACATGGCTAAAGCATGTAAGCCCAGAATCTGGATTTTGTATACTAAAAAGTTTTTTTAAGTGATTTTATTATTTTGTTTTGGGAATTCTATGCAAATGTATTTCTAGGGAATATTTGATGACCACTAGACCAAAAACCCAAGTATAGGAGCAGAATAAGAAAACAAATTTTTAAAATCTCATTCCCTGGGCTGGGCCGAATAATATGAATATTGGTAGAATAAGTAAGTAAATACTATATTAAGATATGATCCCAACAGTTCTTAATTCTAACAACCCTGTATACATACATTTTAAAGAATAATCAGTAATGCATTTGCAAAACAGATTTCCCTGTACAAAACGCATGCTTAAATCCCAGCTCAAGAGGAGAATCATCATTTGATTAGCCAAATCTATCTCCATTTCTGGAGAATAACTTAAACATTTAAAGAGTATGTTATTTTAATTATGTACTGGCGTATATGTCGGCTTAAAATCTTCATGGAAAAGTATAAAGAATAAGCTCTAAAGAGCTTATGTTTTCCAGTAAGAATCCATAGTAATACTGCTTGGCATTTCACCCCCATTCAGTTGTTAATCGCAACATTCAGCCTAACGCTGCAAGCTGTCAGGTAGAAACAGATGCTAAAAGGTGTGTATATATAATATGCATTAGAGACTATCTCAGGTGCTATCAGGCAGAAAAATGACATGTATTGTACACCCTTTACCACCTTACTGAAAGTCAATGGGTTTTAAGACTATGAATTCCAAAACAAACTGCAGAATGTCAAAAACATCTCATTGTGCTTTTAAACATAAAATTCAAGATTTTCCTTTTGGGAAAAAAAGGCTTAGTTATACACACCAAAAAGACTGCAATGATTCCATTCAAATGTGACTAACAGTGATGAGAAATGAAACATTCAATAGCTAGTGCAGATCTCCTGTTTCTTATTTGTTTTTCCTTCTCCACTAAATGCAAGCTCTTTGGTGGAGGCAAATGAAATCAAATGCTCTGCCTACCACTACCTTTCCTCTGATGTGCCTTTGTTCTTTTCTCCTGTCACTGTTCCACATAAGACTAACAAAACCCTACCAGCACAATTATTTTTAGAGCTCTCTTTCTGCACTGAACATTATTCATAAAATCTTCCGTATGCTGAAGAGTAGAAATGGATTACACCTAGAAAAAGAGGCAATTCATGCTCAAAAGTATGAAATGATGTAAATGTTTTCCACCCAGGAAAGCCAAATCAAAATGAAATTTCAATCCTTCAAATAATCACGTGATACTTATCTATATCTATCTATATATAGAAGAGGAAGAGAAGGGAAAAAAAGATGTTTCTCTCACTATAAATGCCCAAGAACATCTACAGACAGCTGGAGACAAAAAGGCATAACCAGATTGGATATTAGGCAATTCAGGAAAATGTCAGAGAAGTGTGTGCCTTGCAGACTGCTAGCCCATAGAAAAACACGGTATAGCCAGGGCCTAAACATGTGGCAATTTGTCCAGCTTAGGCAGATTTTTCTAATTTACCACACAAACATCTTTATTTCATTTATGTATTATCTACAACAGCCTTGCAATGGTCTTTATCTTTTTTATTATATAAATATATAGTAAACTGTGTAATAAACATAATATAGATACATAATAAAACTACTTAACATAAACGCTTTCTCAAATAAATCGCAAACTTCTAAGGGCAGCACCAAGCTGCTTGTGAATTAATTGTTTGACTGACTACACAAAAATGGTACTTGTCTGACATAAATTTAATTGGAAGGAAGTTACTTCATATTTCCCAAGGTGGCTCCTTAGATCCCTGCAGTGTGGAAGAAGGAAGTGACCAAAGAGTTGACACTATACAGGCAGCTATCCAGTTATAGTCACTGCAACGATTAATAAATATGTGCTTTATGTTATGACTATCATGTTAGATTAATGTTTACTAGGTCACGGTTCCATTTTGTGATGAGAAAAAAAGAGAAGGGCAGGGTCAGCTCCCAAAAGAATTCTGGTAGAGAAAATTGGTTTCTGCCACCAGAGAGTCCCACTCTTTTTATGTACCCTCTATTAACTCTCTTTTGGCATACCCTAATTTGTTTTTGTTTTTTTCTGGAGTGCAAAGTTTATTTATTTAAAACATCTTTATTGGAGTATAACTGCTTTACAATGGTGTGTTGGTTTCTGCTTTATAACCAAGTGAATCAGTTATACCTATACATATATCCCCATATCTCCTCCCTCTTGCGTCTCCCTCCGACCCTCTCTATCCCACCCCTCTAGGTGGTCACAAAGCATCGAGCTGATCTCCCTGTGCTATGTGGCTGCTTCCCACTAACTATCTATTTTACATTTGGTAGTGTATATATGTCCATGCCACTCTCTCACTTCATCCCAGCTTACCCTTCACCCTCCCCATGTCCTCAAGTCCATTCTCTACATCTGCGTCTTTATTCCTGTCCTACCGCTAGGTTCATCAGAACCTTTTTTTTTTAGATTCCATATATACGTGTTAGCATACGGTATTTGTTTTTATCTTTCTGACTTACTTCACTCTGTATGACAGACTCTAGGTCCATCCACCTCACTACAAATAACTCAATTTCGTTTCTTTTTATGGTTGAGTAATATTCCATTGTATATATGTGCCACATCTTCTTTATCCATTCATCTGTCGATGGACACTTAGGTTGCTTCCATGCCCTAGCTATTGTAAATAGAGCTGCAATGAACATTGTGGTACATGACTCTTTTTGAATTATGGTTTTCTCAGGGTATATGCTCAGTGGTGCGATTGCTGGGTCGTACGGTAATGCTATTTTTAGCTTTTTTAAGGAACCTCCATACTGTTCTGCATAGTGGCTGTATCAGTTTACATTCCCACCAACAGTGCAAGAGGGTTCCCTTTCCTCCACACCCTCTCCAGCATTTATTGTTTGTAGATTTTTTGATGATGGCCATTCTGACGGGTGTGAGGTGATACCTCACTGTAGTTTTGATTTGCATTTCTCTAATGATTAGTGATGTTGAGCATCCTTTCATGTGCTTGTTGGCAATCTGTATATCTTCTTTGGAGAAATGTCTATTTAGGTCTTCTGCCCATTCTTTGATTGGGTTGTTTGTTTCTTTAATATTGAGCACATTGTGATGTTTGCACAACAATGTGAATAAACTTAATGCCACTGAACTCTACACCTAAAAACGGTTAAAATGGTAAATTTTATGTATATTTTACCACAATAAAAAAACAAACCAAAAAACCTTCCTACAAAGAAAACTGGAGGCCCTGATGACTTCACTAGTGACTATCAAATGTTTAAGGAGGAAATAACAGCAATCTTACACAGACTCTTTCAGAAAATAGGGGAGAGAACACTTCTCAATTTGTTTTATGAGGCCAGCATACCGTGGAAAAGTAGTACAATTGTATGAAATAAAGGTCTGAATATTGGCCACATTATTACAGTGCAGTTTTCCCACAGACTTAGGGCTTCTCATTATAGTTCCTAGTTATCAGGTGTTTGTCAGGAATAAAACTTGCAGATATCCAAAAGAGGGAAGCCTGGTAAGAGTTTTCTAGGCATGTCTTGGTGTGCTTTAATTGCTAAGGCAGTTTGAGTCACAACAGTCCAGAGCAGAGAAATACGAAGGCAACAAGAATCTCCACAAATCCTTGTTAGGTGTTTGAGTTTTAATTTACTGTTGGAAGCACCTTAAAAGGTTTGTGGTCCTGATGCTTCACTTAACTTAGCTCAAACTGATTCTGCCATATCAAATTCTAGTCCATATAATCAAGTGGTATTTCTTTTACTTACTTTGCCTATAGGTTCTCACTTTCAGCTCACCATCCTACGGTGGTCCTTCCTCTCAAGTCCTATCAAGGTCAAAACGAAACAGAATGAAGAAGGAGCATGGCTTTAGGGCCATGGCCCTCTGAGATCTCAACACCAAGACTCAGTCATGAATAGTCAGTTAGCTAAAGCAATCACTGAGGAACAGATCCAGAAAGGAACTGAAGCTCATATGGGTATCAGAGTGAGAGAATTTCATTATCAATGGCATTTATTATGCTCTAACTGCATTCGTATGCCATGAAGAGCTGACAGACTTCCTGCCAGCTCTCAGATGTAGTTAAGTATGTGCCCATTTTAGAATACAAGGAAACAAACAAATGTATAAAATGACTTGGGTTCCACATATATATCGTATGACAAGCCAAGGAGAAGGTGGTTTCAATACTCACAAGTTTTCTGAGCTTACCACTAACATCACATTATGCTTGTAGCAAAAGCAGTAGCCTTGGTGTAGAAGGATGACTTGTAGGGAAGAGATCTCTGCCCTGCCTCCAAATTGTGGCTAAATGCTTTGCTTTTGGCCCTTTTCACAATGACTCACAGCCCTTACCATACTAACAAAACTATACCGTATTCTTCTGGAATAGGTAAGATGTATATAGGATATTTCATGTTTTAAGTAACTGCAAATGTTATTTTTGTAGAGTAATTGTTTTAACTACTTCTTAAATAAAAGGGATGATTTTAGTAAAAGGAAATACTGCATTCTATACATTGCAATTTGAAAAAATCTTGGAGGAAGTAAATCACCAATCCCAATTTATTTTTCATATAAATATTAATTTAAAAAAAGTTAAGTATGGGCTTCCCTGGTGGCGCAGTGGTTGAGAGTTCGCCTGCCGATGCAGGGG